ATTCTTACAACTGGTTTTCTTTGACCAGATTAATATTTAAAAGAAGGTGCTAATACAGAAGACACTGAACAATGCACAGCACAGATGTCAATATGTGTTCAACATGTCGCAAAAGAAATTGAAATGACATATAAGTCAACTTCGTAAATGACTTCAGAAACAGAAGCAACTTTTGGTGGAAATGAATTTACTGAACATCTTCAATGAAATCTCAGATATGGACATCAAAATATACGACTCTGGAGAGGCCCAGAGGCCAGAGAGTAAGACTTCACTGACGATAAATGAGTCTCGAACTTTATATGAACGCTGAAAATCCAAGTGCCAACATTAAAGTAGACCCAAACAAAAAAGAGAGGAAAACCCACCTTAAGGGCCACAGTAATATGATGTTTCTGACAAGCTTGAGATAAGCCCATTTGATGAGAATCAGATATGAATCCATGGTTTATAGCCACAGCAATTCTGCAACAAATCCACAAAGTTATTGTGTCTCCAGCAAAAGAATATGTTCTATACAGTCAAGGCACTATCAAATCTTATGCATCAGTTCAAAATCCGAAAGAACAGTAGGACTCAGAGAACCAACTCAATTTTCATGGATCAAATCACAGAAAACAAAGACACCTAAATGAAGACAAAATTCAAAACAACACCCATCACGTCATTATTTTCCTAGTATAACTGTATAATTTGTATTCAAAACGCACATATGCACCAATATATAAGAGGAAATATAGGCATCAGATAGTTCAGAAATTTGCAATATATATTACTGATTTACATTTAAAGAGTGTCGATATCAAAGTGCATTAGCTTTTCAGCAGCTCTGTTGTACATCTTCAACAGAAACAGCAGTTTCAGTCTGCTGTCAATTTTCAGTTGTAATACAAAGTTGTATTGAACACTTGCACTAAAGTATGATCACTAGTTCATAAACAGCACTGAGTTCACCAATAACGCAAGGACGGTCACCTATCTATTATAGAAAGACAACCTAAAAGTTAAAATCATGTCCTCACTCAGCCATGTAGAACACCACTACCCCATCATTCAGTGCTCAGCAATTGAAAGACGGTGTTGTCCATAAGTTCTTCCATTCCCCTGCAAATATGTCCACAGGCACATTCGGCACTCAGGCAAAGGAAGCAAAACCGGGAATCCTCAAAACTGAATTGATCTAGCAGAACCATCAAACCCTTGGGTTTAACATTTAATACAGGTTTTCACATGATTAGGACAACAAATATGTACCATAATTCATTCCAATCAGTCATCACTCTCATTGAGGCGATTAATGGCAGGAACTCGTTGCTTCCTCTTGCTTTTTGTTGAGAATCTTGCTGCAGATACACTCAGGAGTTTATTGAGCGACATGCCTTCACCTAAGATTTTTTTCTTCTCCTCGTACCTGTGTTTAATCCTTCCGTCAAGCTTGTACCCAAGAAATGCAGGAAAAGCCAATAGTTCCCCAACTTCACGACCCATCTCCTCAACCAAGTAGTCCAACTTCTCCTCCAATGACTCATGATTGTACTGTAATACCTGCGGATGCTTCATGCTCATCTCCAGAATGTCGTCAAAAGTCAAGCCGTAGTTCAAAAATACCCCAATAAGCTCTTGCATATTTTTGCAGCTAGTCCTGGTAACAGCTCCCATTGCCATTGCCAATTCCTTGGTATTATTCTTATATCCAATCTTCACCAAAAAGACCAGCTTGTAAGCAAGATTGCCCTCAAATGACAGACTTAGAAACAAAGGGGCTTTTATTAAGAACCTGAATATATCATGTGAACTCAACCCACATTGCTTAAGAAAATCAATTCGAGGATGCAATTTCCTTTTCCTGCTGGCGCTGAACATATTGGGATAAACTAGAACAATTCGAAAAATCTCCTCCTCACTTAATCCAGCGAATGATTTGAAGAACTCGACATGATCTTTTAAGTGGTCAACACTGTATGCTACAACAAATGGCAACTTACGCAAAACGGTTGCAGTTCCAGCCTCATCACCTCCACTCAGCTCGAATAGGAACCCTATCCTGGGAATCAACTGCGCGTCAAGGTCATAATTGAGAAGCGCTGGACGGCGAAGAATCAAATCAACACCACCAAAACGGTTCAAGAAAGTGAGCAATCTTTCTACATCTTCAAATGATTTGAGACAAAAAGCCTTGGTTAAGTTGGCATTGTTGAGAACGTGAACAATCTTTTCTTGGGGCATCCCAAGTTGGAGTAACAATCTAACCTTTGCTTCAAATCCTGCAAGAAACCTCGGTTCTGTTGAGTTAAAAAGATGTTCAATTTGTGAAGGTTTGATCTTTCCTGCCAATTCCAGTTCATCATTGAGAAGAAAACAAACGAAGGCATCGATTTCCTGAGCTGTTAAAACATCCGGTCTTTTCACGATCAATCGTGAAAGAGCAAGGCCGCTGACACCAAGGGACTGCAATGAATGAATTCGCGTACGTATGGATTGGAAGGGCCTGAGTTTGACTACAGGGTGGGCGTCCAAAAGGGCTTCAGTATCTCTCTCATTGAACCCAATTTCTTGAAAGAGTGAATATAGCATCACCCCTGAGAAAAATAGAGTAGCATCCACAGTTAAAGAAATGAACATTTATAGAAGCACATGAGGTGTTTGAAAATTGAACTCAGAGAGAGAGAGAAACTCACCCGAATCAACAAAAGAATTGGTAGAGCTATCGTTGACGACGAGGGCGTTGCATTTGAGCAGCAAAATCCTGGAATCTTCAGGACCCAAAAAGTGTAAAGGTAGTTTATCTTGTTTCTGTGAAGTGTTAGCGGCAAATGTGAGCTTCTGAGAAGGGAGCAAAGCTGAAGGAAAGAGAGTTCGTATAGGGGGAGATAAAGCCCGAGAGAAGCAGGAAGGAGAAGGTGAAAGTGGGAAAGATTTGGTCGGTGTCGACATGGCTGAGGAAGCAACACTGAAACTGTTGCTAGGCGATAAGGTAGAAGATGAAGTTAGTTCAAGCTATAGCCCACATAGAAAGAGGATTACGCTGTGGCTCCTAAAGTGTCAGTCTCCAACTAGAAACGGGTTAAAAAATATTTTTATCATGGGGCGTATATACTGGCGCGCCAAAGTCCCTTAATTTCAAACTATTTTACACGTTTGGGGACATCCGATAAAGTATATATTGACATAAAAAAATTTGTCTATAAGATAGTGAGTTACTAAACGAACTCGAGAAATACCGAGTAATATTTCCTAGAGTATGAGCCAAATATTAACTTAATCTACTAAAGTTAAAACAAGGAGGACCAACAAAGAAAAAGAAAACGATAAAGGATCTGATATGTCCCTCTACTATTAACAATTGTTTAAAAATGTCCTTCGTTATATTATCGGATCAAAAAACTCCTTACCGTTACACTATTAAACAAAAATGTTCCTAAACAGACGGAATAGACACGTGTCACTCTCATATTTAGTTGACCCATCCCCAATTTAAAATACCCAATGCCTCTATTATCCAACCCATTATCTGACCCTAAACACCCTCGCCTAAAATAGCCCCACCAGACACGACCCTCTTCTCTTCTCTCACCTCACACCAAAACCACCGGAAAACATGGCAGTTCCCCGAAAAATTCCTCCTGTATTACCCCCCCCCCCCTCCTTTGTCTCCCTTCTCTTCTTCTTTTTCTTCGTGTTTCATCATCCAAACAGCAAACTCATTCCACCATATAAGCAAACGAAACCGGTGAAACTCGCCGAAAAAATTACAAAACCACCACTCTCTCACTGTTTTCCTTCTTCATTTTATATCCACCATGAAAACCGGCGAGATCTACTACAAATCTTGGCCAATTTGTTTCATTTTCCTTCTTCTACTTATTTCTTTTTCTTCTTTCCAATTTGTTGGATCTAAAAAAGTCAGAGGTTTTGCCCATTTTTGAACTTCGCCGGAAAATAGAACCTAGCCAAGTCCCACTGAAATTCTCAGATCTGCTTGTTGGTTTTTATTTTTCCTGTGACCTTTAGATAGCTGCTCATATTGATAAAAAATCGATGACCTTAATTAGAAATTTGCTCGTGTTAATAATAGTTGATAGAAATTACACTAAAAAATTATTTTAATAATTGCTAGATACAACGCCGAAAAACCTGCTCGAATTACACTAAAAAGATCTTTCCATAACCACCACACATACGACTCTTGAGGTAAATTTCCCTAAATTATCCCTCTTAAAGATTCAATTTTTACAATCTGGGTTTATATGAATGAGTATCTTAGTATTTTCAGGTTTGTTGTGGAAAAGGTGAAAATGGTAAACTGGTTAAACCCAGATTTGGATTTGGATGTCAAAATTTGGATGTCAAGTATGTGGATCAGAGCGGGTTCGGTCCAATTTGGGTTATTAAAAAGAACCAGATGGCCTTGAGCCTTAAATCAACGCCACGTGTCTATTCCGTCTATTTAAGGACATTTTTGTTTAATAGTGTAACGGTAAGGAGTTTTTTGACCCGATAGTATAACGAAGGACATTTTTAAACAATTGTCAATAGTAGAGGGACATATCAGGCCCTTTACCGAAAAGAAAAACATATAAGAATATAATTAACTTAATTTATTTATAGTAAAATCAGAACAAAGAAAAGGAGGATATGATCTCCTATGATAAATTTTAATTTGAATCGAAAATGACACTATAAAAGCTCCTTGTGTTTTATTTACAGCTCTTCTGTGTTTTTTCTTTACCGATCTTTTATGAAAATTGCCATATAACCAAAAGAAATGGAATTGCGTTATAAAATCAACCTCCCGGGACCAAAGTGTGGTTTTCCACCATTTTATCCCCAAGCTTTTTCGTCGCACGAAATAGGTTATTTATTATTTAATATTTTCTAAAGAAGGGAGAAATTGTAGAACAAGAAACCTGGTACATTGAAAAAAAGGGGAAGCTTCGGCTGGCACTTAACTGGATTAGTTCTAAAACATATTCATCTGGCAGAATTGCAAATATTTAGTAGTAGCACTTATCTGCAGCTTCCCATCTCCAGAAAAAATGATATTTTTTAGAAAATACACTGAAATAATTCGACTTGAGTAACGAAGCAATTTACATGATAGCTAGAATGTTTGCATCCTAGTAAGCAGAACAAGGCGTTACATCAATAAATAATTGCCATAAAGAATTGTTCAATTTCTCTGCGCACTGGTACTCACATAATTGTTCCTGCTCCATTCTGCACATTATATAGTGGATTATTTGTTTCTGGAAGTCATGCTACATTACTCCAGATAGCAAGGTACAAATAAATTTACAGTGACACAAGTGTGTTTAGTTGATTATTGAGCCTGGTAATGTCGATGAGATGGCTTCAGACTATTCTTAGCAATGCCTGTTCCATTTTTCTTACTTGTTGGGATGCTCTTAATTAGAACAACTGACGAAGATGCCTTCTTTAATTTTCTGTGAAACCCAGAAAATGAAATTTATCAGAACTCAAAGTTTGGGTCACACACTCAAAAAAGCAACAAGGAAGATAGAAATTAAAACTTCAGCAATTCTTACAAGTTCCCTTGTTTCTTTTTGGAAGGCTGGCCAACAGAAGATGTCCTTATACAAGTTTCTTCCAATTTATCATTAAACCAAAGGTCCTGCATAAGACAGTACAAGTCAAGACAACTTAAAAAATGATTGAAATAATATTCTTACGTTAAGAACCAAACCGGCTACCGAAAAGCACTAGGTACCAGGTCCAGCAAGATTGCCTAATATCTACAGTTAATCAACCCTTCTCCACTTAAATGCACAGAAAAGATCTATTGGATTCTGATTCCTTTATGCATGTGAAATTCAAAAATTAACAAATTAGAATAGCCGTTTACTTATTATTATTTTATGTAGACACATAAACATGAAATTCTGTCTGTTGTATTTTATGTATGTATATAACTTCCACTATGCAAGTAAACAGTGAAAAGATTGGGTTGAAAAGTAGGAGTACTATTAAGCAAATATATCTCGGGAAAAAGTGAAATCACTACTTGAGACCCACAGTGTTCTTACTAAACTTAGCATCTGCATTAATATAGGAAGGATGTAGGAACTGTGAAATAAGATACCTCCAGCCATTTCAATGAGAATTAAAAAAAGGATCCCACAAATTTCTAGCAGAGCATCTTAGAAACCAGATTCCATCAATTTGACAACAATTTGTCAGTGGAGTTTGGTCATCCGAAAAAAAAACTCCAGAAAAAGATATGGTATTTTGGCAATCAACAATGTTTTGGCGGCATTAAGAAAGAACAACCTAGGTTGTTTTAGATATTTGTGTTTTCCTTTGTTGACTTGTCTTTTCTTATTTGATCTTTCAACATGTGATTTGTAATTAAAGAGATAACTAGATCTTGTCAAATAAACAACAAACTAAAATGACGTGTTGTATTGTATAGTTCTTCAAATATTGGTGAAAGTTGTTCACTGTATCAGAATTTGGACTTTCTTATTGATTATATATCCCATCACGTCATAGCTCTAAATAGGTAAGTTCAAGCTCAACGCATGAATTTATCACGAGGGGTCTTCATCTTATGTTTTTCTTTTTATTCATGCTCGTATAGTTTTTGTTCTCTTATTTTTGCTTTAATTGAACTTCTCTTAATTTTAATTTTATAAAGATTTTTAAATTCCTTCCTTTTTTGTTTTCTTGTCATAAAAAGAGAGATATTAGGTCTCCAGTTTGACTATGTTATCATCAATGTTGACAATACGGAAGGTGGCAGTGGTGCATATATGAAAGTTGTTCTTTCATATATAATCTAGATATAGTTAATATCTAAGTTACCAAATTACCGTTAAGTACTACTAGAATATTAACTTAATGCATCGTGATGAGGCAATCTACTTTGATCTAAACTTGTTAAGACATAATCCTGACTCGAAAAATTAATGTAATGTTTCTGTGTTCTGTTACAAAATTTCATTTTCAAACCAAAATGATTGTATCAGAGTGCAACTTTCATATCAGCATTCTTTTCTTTTCTGATAAGGAAATCAACATATTTTATTAATTATTGTATGAATAAATTTGCAAGTTGTGTCGAATAAGAAAAAGAGCATGCAAAACAATATTAATAAAAAGGAAATAAGGATTTAGATACTCTTGAAATAAAGGGAGCACATGTTATATGCAGAGATGATATATTAAACAATCGGCTAAATAAAATGAGGGCAGGACCATAAGGCTTCCATACCAAAAAATATTCTGAAGATTCATCCACCAAAAAATATGTAACTGGCCCCTAAAATATGCATAATAACACCCACTATTGATATCTACTTCCATGTAACTATATATCGGGCTATTTGTTATTAACTTAAAAGTCATGAATAACCTCAAAATTATGTCAATCGTAGGATTTCAAGTAAATATATTGCACCCATGGGTAGAGTCATTTTCATAAAGTTCATGGAGGAATTTTTAGTATTTATTTAGCATATGATCAGCAGGATTTACTCAATCTCACTTATCCGTACAAATTATTGCATATGCATCAACTGCATACTTGAAAAGTTAATAGAAGTAAAAGACTTATCAAGTTAGTTTCTCTGACATTCAAAGTAATTGTGATGACGAGCTCAAATCTATTTAATTGTATGTTCCAATGCAAATCTCATTGTACAAGTTCTCTTATTTGCCAATACCATGTAGTCTGTCACATGAGTACAACTTTCTCCCAAGTATTCTTGAGAGAGTCGCTGAATTATTTGTATTATTTTCCTATATAATCTTAAAGGTTGTATCAACTTTTCAATATCCTCTATAAACCACTGCATTTGGACAGAATGTGAAAAACTCCGGGAGGACTCTGCCAACCTAGATATGCTCTACAAGTGTTAGTAGGAATCTGACATCCAACAAACATCTTTCAAAAACTGAAGCTTTCAGTACATTTTCTTTCAAATAATAGTATTCTCAGATGAACCCCAAGACTTCACCAGAACAAAACCATTACACCGAATTTAAGACTCAAATAACTAAGTCGCTCTCGTGTTTCTTTAGGAGCATATGCTCATATTTTTCTAGATTGGTGCTATTATGGTGTGTATTTTTGGTGCTTGTACCAAGGAATTCCTAGTTTCCAACAAACTCTTGAATTATCAAATGTTTAATATATCATCTTCGCATATGACAGGTGCTCTCTATTTCAAGAGTACCTAAATCCTTATTTCTTTTTTATTATTATACTCAAGTTACACATTTATTCATATATGATTAGTAAAAGAATGTTGATTTCCTAATTTTTTTTTTAAAAAATAAATATTAAGAATGTCTATTTGAAAAATGCACTCCAATGCAATAAATTTGGTTTAGGAATGAAATCTCGTAACGAACATGGAAACATCACGTTGATTTTTCGAGTCAGGGTTAGATCTTAAAGGGTTTAGACCAAAATAGACTAACTCACTATGACGCATTAAGTTGAATATTCTAGTGGTACTTAACGGCAATTTGGCAACTTAAATTTATTATATTTGAAACCAGTACCACTTTCCCTGCTTTCAACATTAATAACAACATATTGGAGACCTATGTCTCTTTTTATATGACAAGAAATTACTTTTACAAACCAAAATAAGGAAGGAATTTAAAAACTTAAAAATCTTCATAAACTTGAAAAAGAAGTTCTATTAAAGCAAAATGAGAGAAAAGCAACCATATGAGTAGGAACAAAAAAGAAAGATGAAAATGTTTCTTCATAAACCCATGCGCTGAAGTTACTTATTTAGATGTATGGTATGATAGGATATATAACCAACGAGAAAGTCTAAATTCTAATGTCGTGCACACACTATCACTGATATTTAAGGACAATACTATACGCCACGTCATTTTAGTTTGTCATTTATTTCATGAGATCTAGTTTCTTAAAAAATGAATTAAGAAAAGAAAAGTCAACAAATATAAAAAAAAATATCTAAAACAACCTAGGTTGTTCTTTCTCAATGTCAGCAAAATTCTTTGGCACTCGAGTCCCAGCAATGCCGCCAAAACATTGTTGATTGCCAAATTACACAATGTTTTTCATCTTAGTGCATCTTACCCTATCGCATATTTCAACCCAGAAAAAAAACTTCACATCTTCCGATATAATGGAGTTTGGTCACAGAAAGAATAGACTTCCAAACGGGATGAAACAGCTTGAACTATGCATCAGATGCTGAAGAAACAGACTACAGATTAGAATGAAATAATTCCATGTTCAAGAAGGAAAACTTGACTGTAATTACCAAATATGGTCATTATTAGAAAGATTGTCAGAAATAACTATAAGTGGTTCACAAAAGGAAAAGAAGTGCATAGTACCGTTTTCTGACATAAAAAGAAAAATTTTGAATTTGGTGGACCACATATCTAGGAACTAGGAACATCTTCAACCCCACAATATGGGAAGAGGAAAACCAAGAAAAGCTACCATAAATATCAGAGAGGAGAGCTCCAACACCCTTTTTTATGAGAAGATAGAGAGCTCCAACCCATTAGTATGGAGAACTTTTTGAAAAAAACATGAAGTATGGTGGATGATACATATGACTAAGAAATAGCAGCATAACAACTCCATTGTCATTTTGAAATTGAAGGCTAACAAGTAGTACAAGATACATGATCAGAGCTCTCACTTGCAACAGAGCCAGATCCATATAAGAACTAGAAAAGGCTAATCCAGTTACACATCAATAGCAGGTTAGGCACTCAAAATCAAGGCTTCTTTTAAAGGAAATGTGGTGTGCCTCAGTCATCAGAAAGTACCACCAGCATATGCTAAACTTTAACACATGATTAAATAACATTGTGATGGCGAGACAACCCTTTTCAATACTTAGGTTGATAAGCAAGCAACAGAATAACCCAGGACTTGCTAGCTTAATATAATTATAAGTGCTCATATATCCTATTGTGATCTACTTTCTAATTCAAAGTGCACATGAGAAGTGAAAACCATGATCAAATATGTCACAGGAAAACAGCAAATTCCTTTCTGTGCTCATGATGTAGGCCAAAGGTTGTACGATAAAATCAATAGCCATCATTTAGTTGGGCACTCAAAGCAATATAAGTTAAATTGATATGCAGATACATTCTGCATGGGCATTTACTGCAATCATCTATACTATAACAGAGAAGATATGCAAGATTTAGCTTGATTCTTGCAATACTAAAACATAGAATAACAAGAACTCTACATAATTAGAAAGCTTCCACCACAAACACGACGCACGCCATAGATAGATGTCAGTATTTGATCACATTCCATAAAAAGCATCTTATTGAGTAAAACCCAACATATAACAGAACATGATCATTAGCAGCAAAGTTGGTTTAATTGAACTTACTTCATTGACCGGAAACTTGCATACTCCCCCCTTTTCGTCCTTAGATGATCCACAACCATCATTCCCGCTTACAACCTTCTGTTTCTTCTCACCAGCAACATCCTCATTCACCACATCAGCTTTCTTCCTCTTCTTATTACCCACACTCGTTCCCTTACTCTTCTTATCACGTACCTTCCACACGTTCTTTTTTCTAAAAAGCAATTTCTCAAATTTCCACGGCGCACAGCTCGTATCTATCACCATAACTTCCGTCCGCGAAAATCCCAACAGATTGGGGTGGGACTTGTCCTCCTCTTCAGCTACGTTTAAATTACTGCCTTGTTCTAATAGCTTGACCTGAGATTCCTTAATTTCCACACGACTGTTGTCATCGCTCATCGGCGACGCAGCATTGTTAATTTCAGATGAAGCACAAAACCTAGGGTTCGTTTGTTTGCGTGACCCCTTTTTGAAATTAAATTTAGGGAAACTAGTTGATTCTCCCATACAAAAGAGCTCGGAGAGAACATTTGTAACTACATTGCACAGTTGTTCGTTGTCTCCACTGTTACCTGGTGCTGCCGGAGTTTGGGCAGGTTCGTCTACGGACCGAATTGGATCGGAGCTGGATTCTGAACCGACATTATTATTGTTATTATCTCTTAGCTGAGTTTCGGTGTGGGGAGAAATAGAATTGGATACATTAGGAGACTGGTGATCGGCAAATGAAAAGCCTTTTGATGATCGGAGCCGGTCGAGCCAGTTGGAACCGGATTTCTGGGTAGAAATTGAACAGAGCATTGTCGGAGAGAGAAAGGTAAACGAGGTGGGCCTTACCAGAAATGAGCAGACTGGAGTAGGAAAGCAGGCTTAGGATTTACAGAGTCCATGATTGCACAGCGAAAGCTATTACTAGCCGTCATCGGATATGCGAGGTAAGGGAAAGGGAGGATGTGAAAATTGAAATATCGGGAAGTTGACACGTCGCTGGTAAGTCGTTGGAGGGAACATGAAAGAACACCCAAAGAGTAGTATTACATGTAAAAAAAAATTATTTTGTGCCTGCTGACACTAGTTGTGTGACGTCTCTTTTTTATCTCACAACTCACAATTGTGTGGTCCCAGAATTTTTATGGACCCAGATGTGTAACATATGAGTCCACAAATATGTGAAATAAAAAGGGAAGAAATTCAAAAATAGCCAGATTTACACGTGGTCGTTCAAAAATAGCTCAGTTTCAAAAGTAATCGAAATCTAGCCACTTTTCATGTAAAGATAAATCTGAGCGAAAACACTGTTCAAAACCCGAAAAATACGCTAGTATATTATGCTGGAGTTCCAGCATAAGTATACTTGAACTCCAACATATTATACTGGAGTTCCAGGATAAGTATGCTGGAACTCCAGCATAATATGATGGAGTTCCAGCATAAGTACACTAGAACTCCAGCATAATATATTGGAGTTCCAGCAAAGTATACCGGTCCAGTATAATATGCTGGAAGTTCATACACAAGTGCTCGAATCTTCAGTATATTATGCTGGAATTTTCCGTGTGTTGGAGTTCTAGCATAATATGCTGGAAGTCCATACACAGGTGCATCAAACTCCAATGAAAATACGCTAGTATATTATGCTGGAGTTCAAGTATAATTCCAGCATAAGTATACTTGAACTCCAGCATATTACACTGGAGTTCCAGAATAAGTATGCTGGAACTCCAGCATAATATGATGGAGTTCCAGCATAACTATACTTGAACTCCAGCATATTATACTGGAGTTCCAGGATAAGTATGCTGGAACTCCAGCATAATATGATGGAGTTCCAGCATAAGTATAGAACTCCAGCATAATATATTGGAGTTCCAGCAAAGTATACCGGTCCAGTATAATATGCTGGAAGTTCATACACAAGTGCTCGGATCTCCAGTATATTATGCTGGAACTTTCCGTGTGTTGGAGTTCTAGCATAATATGCTGGAAGTCCATACACTGGTGCATCGAACTCCAGTATATTATGCTGGACCGGTCTCTGTTGCAGCAAAATAGTGGCTATTTTTCATTGACTTGGTAAACACTAGCTATTTTTGAATGACCAGTCCGGAAACTGGCTAGACCGTGCTATTTTTACGATAAAAAGAGGCCTCACACAACTAATGTAAATTGTGTGAGACACAAAATAAAATCACTCTGAAAACAGTTTAACTTAAATTTTCAAATCTACCCTTAATGCGAAGCTATAACCACACAAATACTCTAAACCCCTTTATGACTTGTTTAGGGCCAAAAATTCTAAAAGTATTCATTCTTTTCTTAAACTCCGTGCTCAGTCAAACAGGTTCATGAAAGCGAAGGAGTAATTGTTTGAGTAACGGCGACCATTTGCGCATGCGCGTGTTTCAGCTCCTCACTCTCAAATACCATGACATCATAAATACAATAGCACTTTTTTCTTCTACTCAGTAGTATATACTATAATAAGGATTTATTTACCATTTTTTTCAAAAAAATTATGTTTTCAATAAATATCTTAATTTTTTTAACAATTTATATACATCACTCCTTAAAAGGGTGCAAGTGCACATATGGTCATTCTCATGGATGCTATTTAGAGATTAGTCAGTACTTATTTTGTCCTAAAATTTTAAACTAAAAATCTTAATTTCGGGACAATTTAGGACACTTTTTTCCTAAATATTTGAACTCAAAAACTAAAATTTAGGACGCACCGATTAATTTATAAATAACGGTACTTTAGAGTGGCTACCTGGTGCCATTTCTACCCTTAAAATGCTCTCACCCCATTATTAATGCATTCACTTACGGGATTGAGTTATATCCTTTCATTTTTTTCTTCTCTCCTCTCTCCCTCTTATTCTATGCAATTTGACTAGCAATTTACGTAGCTTTTCACTCAATGGTGGTCCCCACTTCTGTCACGACCCCTATCTCTCATCGTAGGATGTCGTGATGGCACCTAGTCTCTAAAACTAGGTAAGCCTAACATACATGAAGAAATAATGGAAATAATAATAGAACTTCAAATTTAAAACCAACTAGCTATCATACAAGAACTCCACAATACAACTGACAGTAACTCCTAAAATCTGGTGAGAATGAGTCACAAGCTCTACACGAGTATACTGAACATCCTTAATACATCAGTATCTGAACAAAGAGTATGCGATAGAAAACAAGGACAGAGGGTGACTCAGAGGCCTGCGAACGCCGGTTGGTATACCTTGAAGTCTTCGATCTGGAAGCTCTACTCACTGGTGCCTAGCCTGGTATGAGGTACCTGGATCTGCACAAAAAGATGTACAGAAACATAGTATGAGTACACCACAACGATACCCAGTAAGTATCAAGCTTAACCTCAATAGAGTAGAGACGAGGTCAGATCAAGACACCTACTAGGATAAGAATAAGAAATTGAACAAGTATCATACAGTCTAAGAACGCAAACGAGGAAAAAGGGGCAATAAGAAAATACAACAAGATAGACTTCAACTGAATTTAGAGCAATAAATGCAACAAAGGAAGGAACACATAATAAAAACATCAAGAAAACGATGCGGACAAATACAAGTGATGTAAATGAGAGATAACAACAAGAATCATAACCGAGGTCCGCCTCGTTATCCATTTCACAATCACAATCTTTCCTTACATCACCACGGGAGTTTTACATTTAGTTTAGAAAATCATTTTTCCGAAATAGACACCCGCATTTTAGCCCACCTTATCACACCGCGTGGCTTCAAGTAGTTCCCCTACTAGCAACACGTGTATCAAGCTCACTTTGTCTCACTGCATGTGTATCAACCTCTAGCCTTATACTGTCGCATGCATATCAATATTACACAATATCACAACTCGCACCTCAAGTGTCCAAATACCACAACTTACCAACAGAATCAACAATATCAATATTTTCACAACAAATAGCTCGTGGCTCAACCACAATGTGTACAAGAGTCTCAACAATAGCAACCGAACGTGAATAACTCAACAAGAATGGCATTTCAATAATTTAAAACTTCGCCTCAATGTGATCGTGGCTTTTACAACTTGAACACCAAAACTCAACAATAAGATATTCCAAGAAATAACAACTTCAAGTAAGGTAACTCAACAGTTAATTAATTAACAATGCAATAAGGAAATAGTAACTTCAACTAAGCATGTAAGGACAATTAACAAGTAAGAGATGGGACAAGTATTAACAATGTCAAATAAAGCATGTAAGGATAGACTAACGATGATAAATATAACATGTTATGACAATTCGATTAAAGGCATGAGAAGAATCTACATAGCTTAAATCGGTCAATTACCACATATAGCCCATGTACCCACTCATCGCCCTTGTGTACACGGATTTCACGTACAACAAATGACTGATCTCGTCCAAGTCACACCTTTATTTAAGGTTATGAAACGGTCGATGCAATAGTAATACCCAACAAGGAGTCGGGGTTGATTTTCCACAGGGAGCTATGAATGGGACTTAGGAGTATATATTACAGTATATGAGCTTGAATTATCTCAATTTATACTTCCACAAATTTGGGTTGTTTCTAGGTCTAATTTTAACTAAGACTGCAAGCTAAGAATGAAACTAGGAAATTGTTTTTGTTGTTTTCAAATAATATAAAAGGTCTAGGGCTATGACCTTCACCTAGGTATTTTCCTAATGGCTTAAAAACTTTAAAGCGTGTTTTATTGGTTGGGGTGTATTATAGCTATCAACACTCAAGTACTCACTCAATACCTCTCGATCAGAGAGTGATTTTGCCCAATTTGGCTTTCTCAAGTCCAAATAGGTATTGAAAAAATAGTTGATAAAAAGCTCAAGTCGGGTTTTACAATCTCTGGGTTCAACCCTTTAATTGGGCTTATCAATCTCTCGATTGGCCCAGTTTCTTGTAGCCAAGTATTCCTAGACTAAGTCTCTCTTTCTCAAGGAGAGACCAAGTCAAATAGGCATGAGCTAATGTTTGCAACCATTACTTCTACAATTGAAAGCAAGCACAAGGCTAAATAATAAACACCCAACCATAAACAAGCATTAAATCAAACACCCATTAAGATTACACTCTAGGGTTAGATCATAGTGAAAATCTAGTTACTCATGCTTAAAATAGAAGAAGTAGAAGAAGAAATGATAATTAAACCTATATTGATGATTAAAATGATGAAATCAATGTTCAACAAGCTCAAAATAGCAAAAATTACTAAAAAGAGTAAAAGAAACTGTCTACTGTAGCAGCTGATGTCCAAAGTTGACTTAAAAAGTGAAACTCTTCTATTTATACAGGGCTAGAATTTTCGATTGAAAATGCCCTTTCGGAGATTCTGCGGCCGCACAATTCCATGTGCGCTCCGCACTTTTCTTCAGTCTTGATAGAGTTGGAAATCTGCAGCCACATATTTCTGGATTGCGGCCGCACTACTCTCTTTCTGCGGTCCGCACAATAATGTCTGCTGCCGCACCTTGCTCTTCTGCGGTCCGCACAAATGTGACTGCGGCCGCGTAGCCCAGTTTCTGCTGGCGCACATATCATGTGCGGACCTCACTTTGTACATTTCTCTGATGGGAATTTCTTCACAACCTGCGGCCACAGATGATAATCCGCGGTCCGCACTTCTGAGCTTTTGTGCCTGTTTTTGTTCTTGAGTTCAGATTACTCCTTCTTGAGTTGGATTTCATTTTGGGAGCTCATCTTCTAATGTTCCTGCAAGTAAGCATATTTCATCAATTTTCGGGAACACAATTAAATGCTTTTGCACTAAAACGAAAGCTAAAAGGCGCTAATAAGTAGTCAAAATCCCCACTCATCAACTCCCCCGAACTTAAGTTTTTGCTTTTCCTCAAGCAAATAAGGTAATTCCCACCTCCACAAGTTAAAAGCTGTTCCATCTATTCAAAGATGCATCAATCACACATTAATTGGGACCAATAATTACCCACAACACTTATGAATTATCAACAAGGCAACG